TTTCTGGTTCAATCATAGATACTGACAGGTCGGTTACAGCGAGATGCGATCCAATCTAGTTCAAAAAATTCGGCTGGTTCAATTCCTCATCATCTCGTCGCTTGTTGTCTCCTACTGGACGACTGTCTCTTCCTAGTTTATATCACGCCATCATGTGATTGTTGAGGATACTATTAATCGTTTGTTCATTTCTATTGTGTTTCATGTTGCCACGCGTACCCTTATGATACTTGATTGATTGATTGCTTTTTCCTAGTTTTTATTTATGCTGTCTTGCAATCATTGAAGGCGCGATTAATATATTTTTTCTTCCGACTTTATATCACGTCACCATGCAATGATTGACGACACTCAATCCTTCTATTCGTTTTTTCTATTCTGTTGCACGCTGTCATGCATGCATTTATGATATTTTATTAACCTATTGCTTTTCCTACTTTTTATTTATGCTGTATTGCAATCGTTGAAGACGCTATTAATATATTTTTTCTTCCGACTTTATATCACGCCATGATGCAATTATTGATGACATTCGGTCATTCTATTCGTTGTTTTCTATTCTGTTGCACGCTGTCATGCATGCATTTATGATATTTTATTAACCTATTGCTTTTCCTACTTTTTATTTATGCTATCATACGATCGCTCATGACACTAAATTATTTGACAGTGTCTTCCGAATTTGATATGAAGGGGTGTGGGTATGGTCTTATGATACTGTATTAGATAATTTTCTCTTCCGACTTTTTATAAAGAGAGAGAGTGATTCGATTTTTTTGGGACTAAAAATTCGCTCTGCTTTCATACACCATTGATTGATTATGAAAAATCTGGCGAGTTGGCTCCGCGCATCTTCATTTTCTCCGTATGAGAGAGCAAAACTAGGAAAAAATATATCTGATTGATGTGCATTATTGATACTCATCAATACCATGCGTATAAAAGCAGCAGTAACTTGCATTTGTCTTCACTATTCGTTTACGTGGTTCAGAGAAGACACAGAGCATCGTTGCTTTGTACAATGGCTAATCAGCTATTTCTCTCTGTGCTGCACGATAGTATATGGCTCCTATTGTATGAAACACAACGACCTTTGTGTCGGATCATGAACCGCATGCGTGTATTCATTTTTCGTTGTGTATGGTATTGATATGTATGCATCATTTTAGATAAGACTCATTGAATCATCTTCCTTCATTTGAATCTTGTACGGATTGTGATGCAACAACATCAAGCCCAGCACGACAAATTTATTGGGTGAGTAACTTTTCGGATTTCATTTGTTGTAAAAGCGATATATTAAATTTTGCCCTACAAATGAAACTGAGAGAAAGGGAGCAGTCGTCGAAAACCTTTCTGTAATTTTCGATTGACTATTTTGAGACAATCATCGTGAAGCAGAAATAGTTTGTTAAGATGAGTTTTCATCATTGGAAATAATCATTCAGTTATCATCCAGACAGTGACAAACCGTCGAAAATGTATATGAAGATAAAAAGTCAGCGATTATCTTCTGATCATATTGACTATATCTAATTATGTACGACAACAACCAGTTGTATCTTCTTCACGTGCAGTTTGAATCCTATTTTCCGTCAAATTTATCGAAAAAACATGTAAACGGACGAAAAACGAAAGCAGCGATCCTTTCTATGAATTATATGATGGAGCTATGATATGCGACAAACGATCACATAGATCAGCTTTTATGCGTTTAAACACATTCGAGATGCTAGGACTGGATGAATGTAAGTTAATGTCTTTTTAACTAGCAATCAGCCATAAAACTATTCAGAAAATTTATCTACAACTATCTAGAATTTTTACAGCTCTGAAAAAGCATGCATGTAAAGCATTTTAGAGCGGTTTTTTCGCCGGTATGATAGGACAACTGGAATTTCCATTTGCCATCCCTAATACTCGTAAAAATCTAACAGATTTTAGGTGCTAGTCATTGCTATTGTTTCAGAAACTCGAAAGAGAATTTTACTAGTACAACATGTAAAAATGCCTCAAAATAATTATGAATTCAAAAGTAACCTGATATTCTCCACACAGTTATTATTTTACGAGGCATGTATATCAATTGAAAAATTGAGATTTACAGGGATTACAACTTTCGGTTTTACATTTCAAACATTGCTTCACATTTGACTACACTTATTAAGCAGTTACTAGTAACTACATGTTTTCAGCAATTATGTATGTACGATCTTGAGTCATAGAAATCGACAAGTGATTTGAAACGGATTTCTTAACAAACTGTCTGTTAATAGGCGAACATGGCTCATCATTGGTATTATTGTCCTCTACTTGAGTGGACTTTATTCGTCACGTATCGATTTTGACAATAATAATCTGGCTGAAATGGTATGTGATCTTTTTCCATATATATGCAGTGTACCGTAACATTTCTTGTCTTTTAGTTTGACAGAGACCATCGCGCAGCGTTATTTTCGATGAATCACCGTCTGAGAAGGTCAGTACGTGCATCCCCTTTTGTTTAAATCTATGAAACCTTTTAACACGAACTTTTAGAGCGAATTCTGGAAACAATGGGAACTCAGGCAACAATGGAAATCCATCAAATGGAAAGGATCAATGCAATAAAAAGCAAAATGGCATTCAGGATCGATGCAGTTGCAATTCAGGCACCGACTGTGCCAGTGGTATTTGTCGCGGAAAAAAATGTCAAGGTAAGATACCAGTCTAAAGTGATGCTTCGAATTGTTCGAGAATGGGGCAGAGCATTATTGTGCAAACTATTTCGTTTATTGTGAAGCCCCAATTTCTATTCTCTACATTGATGACATCATCATGAGCTGTAATACTCTTTTCGACACAACTAGGGGTGCAACAAATCTTGAATAAATTTGGGAGTTGGCACCAAATCTTTGAGATTTGGACTTGGATTTGGATTTGGTTTCTGGATTTGGGTATGGTTCGAATTTAGTTCCTAGATGTGGATTTCATCTAGATTTGAATCCCAGGATTGCTGCTATCGCTTTGTTTGGCTAAGATTTGGGATTCAGAATTGGTGATATGCTTGAAATTTGGGATTTGGATTTGAGTTTGGGTCTTAGATTTCGATTTGGACTTGGGATTTGGTTTCAATCTAACATGACTCCAACTTTGTAGTCTTGTTAAATTGAAACCAAATCTCAACCTCCAAATCCAAATCCCAAACCCAAATCCTATCCAAATCCCAACCTACTATACACCAAATCTCAAATCCAAATCTAAGATTCAAATCCAAATCCCAAAACCTAAATCTATACCAAATCCAATCAATTTCATATTAATTTATAAGATTTAGGATTCTTTTCTCTCTTCTGGGACTTTATTTTACAAAGCCTCGTCATATTTGAGTAATTTAAGACCAAACACAAACCCAAATTCAAATCCAAATCCCAGTCTAGAACAAACCCAAATCTTTTTGTACCAAATCCCAAGGCTTTGGGTTTGTTGCACCCCTAGACACAACCAGTCAGACGCTTCTTTGTTTCTGAGAGTAATTGACTTTTGCATACTGTGACAACCTCATCAGGAAACTGACAAAGAACCCTCGGAGCGTCAGACATATTCGTGTGTCTTGTGTATATGTATGAGAAGAAAAACAGATAGGATGACGATAGTTGCAATGAAGTTTGAATCTCAATAAATAATCGACATGTCTTTTATTGCTAAGAATTCATTTATTTTCGTGTAGCCATAGTTCTAGAAATTGTTTTAATAAATCGAGTGAATCACGAGCCGATGTTTTAGAACTAGAGCTGTAGAGAGGGCTGTCAGCTGAAATTTCATGGTTATCAATAAGGCATCAGTTACTTAAAATAAGTGGGAGGTGTTAAAAGTAAAATAAGGTGACATCGAATTATCGAGAATCGGTGAAAGTCATTGAAAATCAATTGGTCAGTAATTATTCTTCAGTAATTCCCTTGTGTATTCAATTTATCAGCTTTCCTTCCTAATCTTCCTTGGTCTCTATTCTCATCATGCTTGCAGAGATCTTAAAACATGAGTTATAATCCTAAATGAGCTGGACTTAGACGAATTTTGATTAGGATCCTACTTCACATTGGAACCGTTTCTACTTTTAACGAATACACTAGCTTTCACATATTACTAATCATTTAGTGTCGCTGTCTTGTGTCGGACCTTCGAAAGAAAATTTAAAAAAAGGCAGTTCTAGCTTTTGCCACAGATGATCCCAAGATCTACTTCGGCCTTTTAGCACAAAAATGGAAAAAATGACTTCAAGTCATTTTAAACCAGAATCTTACAAATCAAACCTAATCAGTTATTGGATGTGGTTGTGTTTGACAGATTTTTTACATGGGTTTTATCTACGAAAACACTAAGACATACGCCGACTCATAAAAGTGACTGCCAGGAGCTTGCAACGAATAGGAAAAGAGCAATATGTGTTCAGACGATTGAAGAAAGAAGAAATTATTTGGAACGAACAGATAGAGCGAAATACATTCATTTCGAAATATTCTGATTTTCAAAAACGATACCTGTAGTTTTCATGTTCATACTATGTCCAAAAGGTTGTTTCAGTTTGAGCTGCAGATTTTAGTTTCACTTGAAATTTCACTGTAATGTTTTCATTTCATTGAAAATGTGCTTCACTCGCTAAAAACAACGAAAAGAGCTAATATTCATGCACATTTGAAAGTCAATCAGATTCCAAATATTAAGTTAAATTTTCAATGAAAAACAATTGGTTGAGAAGACGACATAGAACCATGTCAACTGAAACATCATACGTATAGTTCGTCTTAGCGAGGACGAAACAACATATTAGAAGTACCTAGGAGCATGAGACCCTTTTCCAGAGAAATATAGCTACTAACAATATATCTTGTTGCCAATTAGCTCTCTGTGAACTCGGGTTTGACCCTCAAGTGACCTATCAAGTCGGCAGTAACCCACATTTTGTGGCTACTGCCGATATCAATGGTGATGGTTATCTCGATGTTATTGTACTGAATACCATGAGCCAAAACGTCGGTATTATGCTGAACACAGGTACTGGCATATTTGGGAGTCAAGTTACCTATCAGATCGGCTATTGGGCATATAATATGGTCGTCGTTGATGTCAATGGTGACAATCGTCCCGATATAATTGTAGCGAATTCGGAGCAAAGCAGCATTGGTGTGCTCCTGAACACAGGTAGTGGCACATTTGGCAACCAAGTGACCTATTGGGGCGGTTATTACCCACGTGGCCTGGCCGTCGCCGATATCAACGGCGACAGTCGCCCAGACATTGTTGTCACGAATACGTATTCGAACAACATTAATATTCTTCTGAACACTGGTGGTGGCACATTCGGTGGACCAACGACCTATTCGGCCAACTCATATGTATATTCTGTGGATATCGCCGATGTCAATGGTGATGGTCATCCAGACATTGTCGTCACAAATGCCGCATCCAACACCGTTGGTGTTCGTATTAACACTGGAAGTGGCTTCTTTTCCGGTGAAGTGACCTATTTAGTCGGTTCTTGGCCAACGGGACTAACTGTTGCCGATGTCAATGCGGACAATTTTCCCGACATAATTGTGACGAATACATACAGCAACAATGTCGGCGTTCTTCTGAATACGGGTAGTGGCTCATTTGGCGCTCAAGTGATCTATGCAGTTGGGAATTCGCCAAATTTTGTGACTGTCGCCGATGTTTATGGTGACAGTCTTCCTGACATTATTGTGGCAAATACTGGGAGTAGCACTGTTGGTGTTCTTCGTAACAAAGGTAGTGGCGTATTCGACACTCAAGTTATCTATCCAGTAGACAATTCGCCATATTGTGTGACCGTAGCCGATGTCAATGGTGACGGTCGCCAAGACATGATTGTGGCAAATGGTGGAAGCAACGATGTCGGCGTCATTCTCACCGATTGCATTTGCCGTCAATGTTGGAACTAAGTTTTTTGATTGACGTGCCAAGGAGTGAAACACGACTTTGCCACTATATGAACAATTTTCCAAAGACTTACACTGCTCTTCTCTATGCCAATACTTTAGTTGCATATTTATAATACCGTTCTGAACTTTTCGTAGCAGTAATATCATGATGAATGTTGCTGCTAACTTTTTTCATTAATTATGCATCTTATTCCGTTCTCGACAACTGCTTTTTCTTTCTCTTTATCTTTGCATTCCATTTTCTTGCATTCTATTCTAAACTCTCGTGAATCTTAGTTAGAAAAGCTTTCAAGTGGATCTTCTCATCATCTGGTTTGCTGATGCTTTCTTTTTTCTTCTGTTTTTCAAATAAAGCTACTTGTATTTAACACATTCACCCCGACGAGTCCCACCGGTGAGATCCGCTCGGTTCTCACAAGAAACTTAATAGAAAACCAGTTTCTGTTCCTTTGTTGTTCAGTGGAAAACATTAGGTAGTGTGTCATCTAGTCGGTCTTGCTACTGTTCAAGTTATTTATTACATAGAACGATGTTTTTCATTAAAGCAATCAAGACAAAAAAAAGCATCACAATCAGAACAGAAAGTTTTTATTTTCTTTGCTGTTGCATTACTTGCTTCTCTTGATTGTTGTTGCCGGATTTTTTCATAGCAACCAACATAACGCCTTCGAACATCGCGGCCATATCCTTCTTTTTCTACTAGCTTGTGATCGGCGAGTTTACGTTTTGCTTCGCTAGTTCGTTTCTGTCTCGCACCCGGCTTCAGCTTCTCGAACGACATACCAAGTAGTAAAGATCGAACAAGACTTTCACGAAACTGCAAAATGGTTATTTTGTTTGGAGCGTAGTGTTCCTTGTATATCAAATAGCTATTTACTATTGCCGTTCCAAAAACCAATTCAAATGCTACCTTTCGGTACCATTTTATCGACCGTCTGAGACATGTGTAATAGGTTGACAGCTGATCAGATAAATCAGCACCTTTTCTTCCTTCGTTGTAATCTAGTACTACTTGTGGCTTCATGATATGTTCATTTTCGCTATTGATATTTCCAGTATTCATCACAGTTGCTGAATGCGATGGCCTTGTAGAAATCATCAAGACATCCTTCTTGTCTTTCCACTTGATCAGTTTCACGCCTTCTTTGTTGTGTAGTCCGTAAACTTCGCCGCGTCTAAGTCTTTTCTCAACAACTTCGCTTCCCGATCCGGCGCGATTACTTCTTAGTGTCCCAATAAGGTAAGTATCATATTCCAACAAATGTTTCGCACGAGAAATACTGGTAAAGAAGTTGTCAGCTACCACGGTTCAATAACACCCCTCAAGGGCATCCAATAAATTCAGCACCACTGTTTGAGGATGCCCAAGACCTGCCATGGGATCTTGTTGACCGGTGTAGATCATATAATTCCAGGTGTGTCCATTGGTAGTCGCTAGCTTGTACATCTTTACGCCGTACTTGTGAGCTTTTCCTGGAATATATTGTTTGAAACAAAGCCTGCCTCGCTATGGTATCATCGTTTCGTCGATAGTCATAACCAAGCCAGGTTTATATACTGACGAAAAATCTGGCTCTCAATAAATCCAAGAGTGGTTTCAACTTGAACAGCCTATCTTGATTAGAATTTTTGTTATCGTTGTTCGAAAAATGCCAGAATTTGAGGAGTAATTCGAACCTCTCTCTCGACATGGCATTTCGAATGATATCTGAACCATACAGCTGACTACTGCTCCAGTAGTACTTCAGTTTTGGCATTTGTATCAACCCCATTTGGATAAGGATGTGAAAGAAGTTGAGCATCTCTTTGTGATTGGTTGGTTTCCATTGATGAGATATTGACCGTCTACTAATCTCATGATTTTGCAAGTATTGCTGCGCGTATAGATTAGTTTCACGAACCCTGAGATCATTAATTTCGTCTGTGATGAAATACCGATAGCAACCAATAGGATTGATTGTATTATCTTCCGAAGCAGAAGTTACTTCTTCAATGAGTCCATAATCCTCGAGGAATTCTGCATCAGATTCTGGTTCTATTTCATTCCAAGCACTTGAATCCATGTCATCATCAGTAACTTCCCCGTCAGAACTGCCAGATTCAAGNTAAATCGGAAAGTAATTGAAAATGATAATACTTGTCAGAGACATCATCTGATGGTCGATCACTATTAATTGCTTCTTGAATAGCAAGTAGATCGAATGACATTGGTTTTATGATTTGAGCAAGACGATGAACATTAGATTGTCCTTGTGAGTCAGTAAAGAAATGAACATTAAGAGTACCTAGACGAAATTGATTATATTTGGAAAAGAGGAGAACTAAAAAATGGATGGAAAATGGAGGAATGTAAAATTTTTTCAACTGAAAATGCAACCGATCATAATGGTGTCTTAGTTACTTTTACAAAAACTAACTAATCAATATGCAATATGTATGTCTTCAAATACTGATATAAACTTTTTTTGGATTAGTTAACAATGAAATATTGTAAAAGATTTTTAAGTTGTTTTCAGACTACGTTATTTAGCATAAAATCAAAAAAGAAATGATGTATAGAAAAGTATTTACAACGACAGACAATATTTGAGAAATTAAATAAAAAAATTGTTTCGATTCATGAAATGTTTTTATAGCTGAGTTTTTCATATGATACCAAACAGTTATATAGGAAATACTCACATCTCAATCCAAACCCTTACTCTCATATCCACCTACATCAAACCATACCAATAATATCAACAATCAAGTTCAGTATATCAGTATCATAGGTTCCATATTTAAAAGTACACGAATTCATTCTTGTGATTCGTATGAACTAAAGTATGGGTAAAATAGCTGATATTTCCACATACATATTAACTATAAAGGTAATTTTTGATTAAATAATATCAGATCAATTAAGATTTGCATCTTTGAACAAGAGTACATGTTTTTTTTTTTATTAGTCATTTGTTATGAACAACAAATTCATCTATTCCATAGAAAAAATGGATTTATGTTCAAATTTTGATATCGAAATCAATATGAAATTCTCTATAAATGATTTAAATTTGAGCAAGATCGAACAATGTTCAGTATAGATAGCAAAAATATTAGCACATCAATACTACTAACAATAATAATCATTTATCTCTACTCAGAAGGCATGGAAAAACAAGCTATTCTAGTGTACCTTATAAATCATTTTAAGTCTATCGTTTGATCATATACTTGATCGAAAGGCCACTGAACAGTTGAGAACGCTTCCTTATGAGAACAAGAAAGATAAAGAGTAGTTCAATGATTTGTTTTCCTTTGAAAGCAAGAAGAAAAAATAAAAGAATAAACTTTTTTGTCAAGGAAAAAAATTAGAGTATTTATTTTCAATTGGAGAAAGAGGCGATTGAAAGTTCGAATTCTTTATTATTAAAGAGACACTGCAATTCAATGCTTTGTTTTCTTCTGAAAAAAAAAGAAGTAAAGTATTGTGATTTTGCTTTTTGCTCAAAACGAAATGAAAAGGATTCAATAAAATTTTGTGTATTCGGAAAATAAGTGGTATCGTAAAGTTCCATATTGATCGTCATTCAAAAAACAAACAAGGAATCAAATGTTTCTGAATCTTGTTGGCTTAGTTTTATCTATTCGAAAGTGTACAAGAAAAAGAAAATGATAAGCTTGTACTGCCTTTTGATTGTCTTAGTAGAATGATATCTTCGCGATTGACAAGAAAAATCTACTTTTTTTTTTATAGATACTGCTTTCGACTGAAATAAAAGCAGGTTCTGATAAGAAAAAGCACTTGAAGTCATTTCGTAAAGTACCATAAGATCAGAATCGGGCATCTACATACTTTTCGAGTATGAATACCAAATCCTGCAATATGATTGCCAATAGTTCGAAATCAAATCGCGTTCTCCCATCTACACTGCTGTTTTTTACGCATCGGTACTGTCTTTCAGAGATCGAAAATGTACTGAACCGAACTCAAACCAGTAAAATTTGGTTTGATTCGGTCTACTTTGTCTTTGGTTGTAAATGTGCAACAGATCTCGAAACGGGCCGCCCGGCCGGAACTTTATTTGTTTTTCACAAGAAAGATTTTCCACGCAAGAAAAAAATTTGATTCTAACCGATTTTCATGGCAATGATCATAAAACGAGTTTTTCTCTGGTTTTAAATTAGAAGCTCAAACTTTTGATTGTTTTTTCGAACTCTTCACCTCAGCAAATCGTAACTATCACACTAGATTACACTTTGCTAGACGTATCAGGCGTCGAGATAAGATATCAATTAATATTGACTCATGTAAGAAAAAATTTCAATAAATTATATTAGAATCGATTATTTAATAAAGAACTATCAATTAATATGGTACTGTTTGATTTCTATCAAAACCTCACTTGTTAGCTTTAAAGATAGATTTCATTTGATTTTAATCGATAAGACTTTATTGATCGATTAAAAAGACTAAAATGAATTGAAATCCATTTTTAAAGTTTAGAAATCGAATTACAGTGAGAGTTAAAAAGCAGCATTTTAATCAATTTTTAACAAACAATAACTAATTTTTTTCTGATTTTTTGCAAAAATTTTCTACATGACCTGTACATCTCGCAACTACTAACAACCAGGAAGCTTTATTATGCGAACGTTTTGAACATTTCATTTAGGCAATAAATGAAAACAAATTATCTATTCAGTTTGATGGCACTCCTTAACCATACACAAAGTCGAGTGAACTATCAACTACATTAAGCAGCATGAACATCACTGAAGTGGAACAGTGTTCAATGTATTGTAAAACTAACAGTATAACTAGAAATAGTAATCGATCTGACTTTTCGAAATTGTTTAGTACACATTTTACTTGTGCAAAGTTCTTGTGAATAAGTGACAGTGTTCCAGAAGTTGGGATATCAAAGAACGCATCTTAATCTTTCGGTTCAATAAATAATTCAGCTTATTTCTCAAGCTTTAGAATTGTCGAACTTTATTCAACTCGAGATCAACATTATAAGTAATTAACTGTTTACAATGATCTGACAAATTACTCTAGTGATCGTTGAGTTTTATCACGTAGAAATCTTTGTTTTTGTAAAAGAAATATCATTATAGTAGTGCTATTCTGAGTCGAACCATCAAAAAGTGGCCTGATTTCAAGGTCTAATATGCAGTAAATATAGACGATGACTATTTTTGAATTAGAAGAAAATCTTTGAACAGATGTTATTTGATAACTATGTCTAATGAGAAAGCACTTTTTTCTTTTAACTCATCTCTCAGAACCTTGATTAATGAACTACAATTAGAGAATTAGTTCATCAAAAGCTCTCCAGGATGTCTTTCTTACGAGGAAACATTCCCAACTGTAGAAGCGCTCACGAGTTGGGACTTAGTGCATCTTGTAGACCATGACGAACTATGTTTATTACAGAAAGCGTTCATCAACATGGCTTGTTTCTGAAAAGATCGAACTGTTTTTTAGTGAATTATCGCTTACAGGATCTGATATATGCAACAAGATCATATTGTTGAATTTTGACCTGAAACTTTGGCCACATAAAGAGGTCATCTAGACTAATTTGCAGAGCAAATTTTAAATTTTTTGGGAGAAGTCTCTCTAAAATATGGACCTTTCAAGGTATCGGGCGTTTTTGATAGACAATATATACAACATGTAATTTATGAAAGTTTCATATTTCTAAGATACATAGGTAGCCCAAATATTTTGAAATTTTTTATGAAAACTACTCTAGACAACCCTTTTATGTAACTAAAGTTACTTAAAATGAAGTGGAAATATCCAAATTTTTTCATGATTCAACTTGTATATTAGTCATTTTTCAAATATTTACACAAATCTTTATCATGCTCTTGTCATAAAAATGACTCATTTTTCTTCCTATTAGGGTCTAGATGGTTTACCCTACTTCTTTATTTTAAATACAGCACTAACTAACTGAAAAAAATGTACGCACACATCCATATTTATGTGTACAGTGGTAGACGACTAAATGAAAGAAAAAAGATATCGAGGTAAAATCAGTACAAACAAAAAAAAAGAATGTGAAAAAGAAAGGAAAGAACAAACAACAGAAAGAAAAGATGATGGCATATGTGAAGGGAAAGCCCGTAACACTTCCTCTACTGCTTATGATCACACAATATCGAGCAGATTTCTTTTCATTTCTAAATATTGAAACGAAGTTAAATGGGTAGTAATACAAGTGTTGCAGAAGTTACTGACGATATGATGGAAGTTTACATCTTAATAAAAACAATAGGACACGACACATATTGGACAGTAAATCCAAATTTAGGTCACCATATCTGTTTATTCAAGACAACAGATGGTAAATTGTACTACACTGATCTTCAAACGGATAATGGTGATAAAAATGGAAAGATTGAACTGCGTTTCGGTCAATATCAATTCTTCAATAATCGAATAATTGCTTATTGTCCGGTCGGATATACGCGGAAAACACTGACTGAAATTGATGAATTTCGACAAAACCATAATACAATCGGTACAATCTATTCATTATGGACAAATAATTGTCAGCATTACGTTCGTGATTGTATTAAATTTTTAGAAATAAAAACTCGAGTGCCCCTGTTGAATGATGGTGTTTATACGGCTCAGACATCATCCGATCTCACTCTACATCCGAACCTAAGTGATAACGTGGATCAGCAAGCTGCAATGTTGAGATGGTGGCCATGATTGGCGATTTTTAGCTATCAATATACAAAGTTTGGTTATATTCTTAGCGATGAAACATTTCAATATTTCCATTAAATAGAACAACAATCAAATTTTCACCACGGTATCTTTATCTTTACATGAATTTCTGAATAAAAGAAATTATTGTACTGTTAGGATCCTAGTGTCACAGTTATTGCATAATAAAAAAAAAAAAAAGAATTTATTTCTCAGAAGAAACAACGCTCTAACGAAGAAACTCTGACAAAGTGTAAAGAGATTAAGAAAAAAAAATTAATTTCAATGTTTGCTAATCATGATATTTCAATTATCATTTGTTCGAAAATATTGTCAATTGTTGTATTACAAAATCCTCTCAACTGTTTTTCCGTTGTCCATATTACAGCACAATCATACAACACGGTTATGGATTTTATGCATCGTCTTTTCTTCGCGCTCTGCTGATATTGATCTGCTATCATGCTTATTGTTCTAGTGGTAGATGTGATTTTCATTCTTCTATTTTCTCTGCATTTTTCTCTATTGCCGAGTTGTGCTATTGGTTTCTCTCACTGTTTGCAATGATATATGTCTGCATGTTTATATGGTATGTATGACTTGTCCACTTCAAAAAAAGAACAACGTCCAGTAAATCTCAACGATGTTCTCTCAACAGTTGCCACATGCATATTCAAGATTCAGATAGACTTTTTTTTCCCTAAATGTCTGTTACGTGATGAACAAATTAATTTTGCATTTCGATTGTGAAAATTGTTCTTTACGATAATGCGATCTATTTCAATATTTTTGAGTACAAACAAAATTTTATGTTAGTTTAAAAAGTTTCGAAACCAATGAGTCAAACTAACTAATAAATACTTATGCAGGGTGTGGATCTATGTGTGAATGTAGTTGTGGGTGTGCGTATTCCTTCTATTCACCCTTCACGTACGCTCACATCTTCAAAACTGCTTCATAAGTGAATTTCGGCGATCGACGGAAAATATGTTTTATTTTTGTTTTTTACATAATATGCGTTAAAACTAGTTAGCATCAATACTAACATGTTACCTCCTGTAACATGACAAGTAAAAAAGTTATGAAATGTTCTTTTTTCTGCTGCTTACAAAACGAATGCATTACAATACTGTTATAGCATTTTTATCTCTGCTAACGTAGGACATAATTCAAAAATGAATCATTTCTTAGTATTATTTTTTTGTTTTTGACGCTGCTTGCTCTTTTCTTTTCAGCAAACATTCTTGCTTTTGTCGTGTGACTTTGTGATTATGACGCGTACAGTCTCTTTTTTCGATTTTCTACCTGTTGAAATTCTACACATGATTTTTAGCTATTTTCTGGCTCATGAAATATTATTATCATTTTCAAATACTAGTGATCATATTGATAGTATTTTACTCTCATATGCATTATATAAAATTAATTTCAAATACATTTCTAAGTCTCACTTTGATCTTGTTTGTCGTCAAATTCGACCTTCACAAGTTATCACACTGATTCTTTCTGATGCTGATGATACACCAGGTCAATATGCATTATTTTTATCACATTTTTCAATCGAACAATTCATTCAACTTCAATTATTAATGTTAATCGATATTGAATTGGATTCATTGGATTCAATTTTATCGAATTTACATAGTCTTCGACGACTGCATTCATTCACATACGATTTCAAGGCAATAAAAATGCACTCCCCAAATCAGATTGATAATTCTTCTAATTGGATCGATAGATTGAATAGTTCCTTATCGAAAGTTGTTATTCGCATAATGCCTCAAATGAAACGATTAAGTCTTTCCAATTTCAAAATTTTGCCAACAATGTCTCTTCCATGTCTGCGTCATTTGAAAATGGGAAAAGTGACAAGATCAGGCATCACATAGTGAACACTTATTACTGTCACCTCACTTAAATTTAAAATATCTTACTCTGAAAATTGACAGTAAGTATAATTCTATAAATGAAATTAAAATTTGAAATATTATGTGAAAAATCAGTCTTTTATTTGTATTGCTACTTCATAGATTCACAAATTTCGATGAATGAACTTGAACAATTGTTACTGAAACTAGTTCATCTAACACATCTTGAATTGACTGCTACTGGTCACAATGATTTAGCTAATGGAAATCGTTGGCTAACTATGGCAAGTAGTCTTACTATATTGAACTTCAAATTTAGAATTCTGGAGACATTAGCCAAGGATGTTCTCGACTCTTTTTGCACGTCGTTTTGGATTGTCGAGAAACGTTGGTATGTAGCTTATGATCAATTTTATCTGTTTACAGTGCCTCACTTTGCCCCTGTGGACATTTATGTTAACCAAGTTCAAGAACAAGTTCCTTGGACAACGTCCGATTCAAGAATGTTCTATAACAGAGTTACCAAAATCAACTTCGCAATGACGCCGTTGAGTGATTCAGTTATTCCCCTTTTCAGATATAAGTATGATCTTGCCAGTCTGCTAAGAACCCTAGAGACGAAGATCGACCTATGTCAAATACAATCGATAACTCTATTGTCATTGAAAGATATACTATCATTAAAACCAAATACTTTTCTCGAATGTTTCATCTTCATAAATTGTCCATTAAGGAAGAGATAGAAGCAGATTTAGTGGAAAAAATGCGAAATTATCGAATTAGACAAATTCGTACACTTGACGCTAGTCTCCCTACTCAAAACACAAGCTACATAATCGAAATATTGCTTCGACTTTTTCCAAATGTAGAACATTTACGCGTTTCATTCATCAGTTCGAAAATGGATATGATTCGTTTGATTAATGGATTTAACTATTTGTCCGATGCATCATTTATGATTGATTCAACTTTCGGTAATATTGAACAACGTTGGTATTTCGAACCAGAACTATTGATGTGTGATTCGCGACGTTTGCACAAAAGTACTTATACATGTCGATTGAACTGCCTGATTGATAAAAAATCGTCTATCATTATACAGGTCTGGATCGGAACTCAAGTAAGTTTCCCATCTAGATAATAATTATTTTTCACATCATCTATTGTTGTAATATGATTTAGTCACGACAATCGTTTTGGTCTATTCAATGGTCACTACGACGAGGATATATTTGGTATCGGTTGATGTACATTTTTTTCCAGCATCCTCATGCCACATTAGGAAATTATGTATACATGACAAGCATTATTTATTCTTTTGCTTTGTTTTCTGCTGCCATGATGTTACGAAACATTTCCCTGATTTTCCATACACTGTTACTTACAAACTTGCCTCTCTATATAATATCTTGGATTGTGAGTGGTGTTATTATTTATTATGTTCAATCCCGAATAGAAAAATTTATAAAGATCGTCCTTGTCACAAGTGGTGTAATAGCGCTAAGCATCGTTTTGTATCAAACTGTATTTCGTTTGATTGTTAGTCTCGTATTAAATATTTTGAACAAAATTGTCATCGTTTTGTAAAAGATATTTTTCTAACTTAAAATAAGGGACATTCAAGGATATTTACTCCGTTAACACTCACTGCGAATTCTTATTTATCAACCATTCCATAATGACATCGAGATCATTTGATATGAATGCCTTTCGATTGTAACGAACTCACAAAAGAAAATTGCAAAATTTTGCGGTAGAATATGTTTTTGTATCAACTTGCATGTCTTCAATAGACTTTACATGTGTTTATCTAAATACGTTGTAAGACGTCTTTTTTTTCTTATTAAAAAAGCAAACAAATCGTTTAAGAAGGATTTCCATAGAATATATTTTATCAGTATAAAAATATGTTTTGCCCTATAAAAGTCTTTTTCTATTCGTTTATCCATATTACAAATTATATCACATTTACACTATTCTCATATCAACTTCTCAAATGGTTCTTCTATTGATTTATACACAACCCTTTTATCAGACGATAATGGATTACCTCAGTGTATTACTTATACTTCGACTTTGCCATATTGACTACGATATATATTTTTCAAAAACTTCGGAATTTTTAGCAAAGAAGTTACTAAGAAATGTTTAATAAAATGGTACAAATGTGATAAAATAATTAATATAGACTAACGGATAGAGAAACCCTTTTGCACGAGAAAAAAAATGTAAATATGACTTTTGCCAACCACCTTTAATGTGAATTTGAGCAATCCATGTATTCATCATTGCAATTGAAATATAGGTGTCAACGGAATTAAATAATTCAACAATGATGGTGGGACAAAACCACAGTTATGTCCTCATGTTAGTTTACTTCAGTACATTAGATTCTCATATAGAGATATATAATATGATATTTGTAACTATAAATGAACATATTTATACAATATATTTCAACCAAATACATTTTCTATTGATCCTTGTTTTTTTCTCTTAATGTATTGGAATTTTTCTTCAGGTAAAACTGGGCATTTCTAAAAAATATGCATTTATATCGCTGATTTCTGTGAGCTTCGTCTATTTTAGAGATAATATTAAAAATTGAACAAGAACAACTAAGATTTATCTAGAGAATCGTTTTTTTTATATTTACAAGTAGAAAAAAGCAACGATTTCTGTACAAAGTATTAATTCAATAAAAATGCTGCAGATCCCTGTTGTTTTTTCAACTCAGTTTCGCTATCACATTTCAAGGGTGCATTATTCGTCGAATGTGTAAGTTATAAAAAAATATTCGAGTTTTTATAGAAAACAAAGCAACTTACATTCGTCGGTGCAAGAAATCAATAACGAAAAAATGGAAGCTAGACTAAAATTTAAGTATCATATTGTGATGGTCAGTAACAAACATGCACTAAATTTCTCTCGTCAAAAATGATCTCTTTGAATGAATAGAAAAATATGATTAATGAATTGAATGAATGTTCTAACTAGAGCTGCCCGCCTGGCCTGCGCTCATCCAAGAAACTTTTCGCCAGGCCAGGGCAGGCTAAAATGTTTGACCTGATCAAAATATACTTGAAATTATTTCTGTTTATTTCGAGAGTCGGATGCTGTTATGAGTTAAGTTTATATTTTGAAAAATTTTAAAAGTAATTGGTTCATTTGAAATTACTTCAATGGGAATCAAAGGAGGGAGAAAAATAGATGGAACAGAAAAAAAAAGAAACACTAATAAATGAAGTTTGACTTCTTCTCAGACTAGTATAACACGAATTAAATACAAAGCAACAATGATTTGATTTAATTCTTTCATTTTTTTTTATATTTAGAATTACCTTGTCTATCCAAGTTAGGTACACAACAAGAATCATTCATCATCGCCTTGCGCTTTCTCATCATTTTCTATTTCAGAAATTTCGTAATAGTGATTATTGTTTGCTGTGAAATATTCTTGATGCTAATTCAGGTTGTTTTTCACTTTCTACTTTATAAAAGCTATTTTTTTCTATTATCGTTATAAAAAAAAAGAAGAAATAAAGAATCACAATAATCGTGGATAGTAACACATATTATGGAAAATGATGAATACATGTACTAGGAAAACTAATTGAAGCGTTTTAGTTTGTATGTGCCTGCAGACCAGGTCGAAAAAAAAAGTGGCCTGTTTGCAGCTCTAGTTCTAACTGTCTCATGTCAATAAAACCGTACAAGGTATGGATCTTCTCTATACTCACAGCCCGAACAGCATACCATTTCGTAAGAAACGGTTAAAATTCAATAGTTGTTTTGTTTCGATTTACTATCATTCGAGTGTTACTATTTCGATGTTGTAGGGAATTGTTATAAATAGGAGTAGCAGTTTAACTTTAAGATGAATGTTATACTGCAGTTACACTGTGATTGCTGATTATGTAGCCCTAAAAATTTGATTTCAATTATAATATTAGCTAATGGATAAGATTTCAATTCAAACCATTTTAATTTTTGTATTTTAGTATGTTATGACAACTCAACCTCCGATGAATGAGGTATCCGGTAATTGCCAAAGACTTTTGATCTTTGTTTCATTCGAAACTTCCATTGATCAATAGAATTTAATGCTCTGGTCAGGCATATAGCATTGTTTCCGAAGTTCATCGAATAATCAAACATACCTGAAGCACCTTTCGAAAATACTCAAAGGTGATTTCGGCTTTGTTAAGAGCAGATTTATTCGACGTAGAATGTTTTTATTTATTGGAGAATATTAAAAAAATTTAATCTTTAAATCGTTTTCTACGATGATAATTTGTAAGTGTTCCAATAGAATTATATCGCTCCAAACATTCTTTTTCGCAGCTTATAAGACAGCAAATTCGAAAATACTCGAAAAGTGTAAAAATGAGCTTTGAGAAAAATTCAATTTTTTTCCTACCATTTTTATAGCCAAAACATTTTCAGCTATATTTTGTTTACTTATTTACTATCTAAAAACGAGCATACCAGTCTTATTTTATCGACTTTTGTGTCTAACATTGATCTGGTCTGAGTGTTTCGAACATCCCTACCAAGATTTGCTAGTACTAATGTCCTACGAGAACGTCTTTTCACAATTCCCGTTTACCATTCCATGAATGCTTCAACAGGCCACTAGCTAGTACCCAAGTTTGAATAGCTATCTATTTTTTTGTACAAAGAGATGAAGTGAAGTGTCTTATTCAATTATAACCGCTAGAAGGGGCGGACGGGCTCTAACCGCATCAATTTATTTTTTAATTTTTTTTCTGTTATAAGTGACGCAATGAAAACTTCAAGAAAAATCTTTATCCTTCTCTATATAAACTTTTGTTTGAAATACTTGCCAGTGTCGACTATATCAGCTCCAATTGACTTTTCTTAAATATAGTAAGATTTTGGTGCAGTTTGATTGCTTGAAATTTGTTAACAAAAAATAGTAAAAGAACATTTTGATTTCATTACTGTTACAATATCTCGATCTCAAAATTGATACATTAAATTTTCTCAAATGAGACCTTAGGAAACTCATCTTTACGTATTCGTACTCGTACTCGAGAAAGTCCATACTTGCCTAGCTCTATGTGCTTGTGCTTAGTAGCCTTCCTCTGTAGTCTAAATATTATGATATTTAAATGACAAGAAAAAATAAAATTATACAAAATTCTTTGAACATTTATAATGACCATTAAATCACTAGTCATATTTATATTTGCAACTGTTAATGTTATTACATCAAGATATTTCAAAATTATTATATCAATGTTTGATAATTCAGATTATCTTTAAAGAATAATTATGTGTAGAAAATATATGTTAGTGAATACATTTAATTTTAAGACATGTATAAGATTTGTGTCTATCAAAAGTATGTAAGTTGTTCAGAATAAAGAAATCTCTAATAATAAATGATTAGAAACTTTTAGCATAAATTATTTTGAATCGAATAAGAACTCTTATTCAAATACTTTTGTTGTGTAATGGCGCCATCTCTACGGATTGCATAAATTAGATTATCTTCTTTTAGACTTATTGATGTTCCTAACGTCTTCGACTTAAGCATTAGTAGAAATAAACTGAATATTTAAAAGAAAGAGGATAAAGTTTGTTATGAATAAAAAGAATAAATTAACTAAAAATATCAATGGTTGCTTTCTTATCGAATTCAATGACGAATCTTCAAACACATGACTCAGGTATCTTACTTATTTGCGATATGAGAAAACTGGTCAGCGCAGACCTTTTAAAACTAAAATGGGAAATTCGAATGTGTTTTTTAGTCTCATTATATCAATACAAAATTTATCATGTAAAAAAATCTCTAGCAAACTATAATTGTTTCCTAAGCATAGTTGATCGCCAGGTAAACGATCTATCTTATTTATTTCGGCATTTCGAATAGAAATGTCGTATTTGTCTTGTTGCTATTTGCCCGGTGTTTTTCATTTTTGTATTTCGTTTTTCTTAATTTAACATTATTTTTATTCTAATCATTGATTTAACTGGTAAATAAACCTATTGTACATATATCATTATACCTACAACGGGTCTACACACACACACTATTATATATATATTGATAAGCTCACAAACACTGATATTGATTATTTCCCCAAGTTATAACTTGATCAGTTCACGTTTTTTATGTTGATCATATGATGATTGTGGCAAATCAATACACAACTACTCATTATCCTTGCCATGTTGAATATAAATTTTTATCTGCACTTAAATCTAAAACTGTACAATTTAGAGCATTTATAAACTTATTGCAGCCATTGAAATCTTGTATCACTGTAGAAATCTCAAAAAAGAAAATCTCGAACAAAATAGGATTTTGAATGACTAAAATTTAGAAAAATGTCCTCCGATTCTATTACTATTTATCTAGTTTCATCTAAATATTCCTTCCAATTGAGAATTTTTCTGTCATTTTTCGTCTGTTTACTCTTAAAGGCGTGCGATAAGACTATTCAGACTAACATCCATATCTACTCCCATATCCACCTTCGATGTTTTGTTTGTTCGATATTGTTCTTTTTGGTATTATTTTTTTCAACATTTATTTCCGAGATTTTTTTCGAGCTTTTTACATCATACCCAAATTACAAGGAAGGCTTTGAAATGTTCTAGAACAGTCTAGGTCTTATTGTTAATGCCGTTGAGAGCCTTTTTTGTTGCTAAGGAACTCTCCTATCCTCATCTGCATTGCCATTGAAGAAGGGGGAGGGGGGCGAGGACTTGCAAAACCTCGACTTAAAACTTACACTTAGTATATATATTTTTGTTTTGAAAAGCATAATGGAATTTCATAAAACACAGTTCTACGGAAATAATCTATCCATTTTCTGTATATTTTGATCGTGTCACCTATTGCAGAAAGAATTCTCTTAAATTGCTCTCTTTTCTACTGCAACAGAAAGATCATTATTGGGGGATAAATTTTATTTTCTTCATTTATATATTCTCTTTATTTATATGATGAATCAATTGACTATCTAAAAATATATATGTTAACGAGAATGACTATATATTTTAGATAAATAAAAGCACTATGAATGTTACTGAAAAAATATCACAATTTCGTCTAGGTACTCTTAATGTTCATTTCTTTACTGACTCACAAGGACAATCTAATGTTCATCGTCTTGCTCAAATCATAAAACCAATGTCATTCGATCTACTTGCTATTCAAGAAGCAATTAATAGTGATCGACCATCAGATGATGTCTCTGACAAGTATTATCATTTTCAATTACTTTCCGATTTACTTCAGTTACCTTATACTGCGTTTTGTTATACTGCACAAGGATTTGGTAATGCAATTCTTTCACGATTTTCATTAAAGAGTAACGTCAATTATAATACAGAGAAAGTTGAAAATCACTATACACGTGGAATGCTAGCAGTACAAATCGATCATGAATTCTTTAGTGATAATGATGCTACATTGTATGTTACTCATTTAGATCAACTTAGTGAACAAGTACGTTTAAGACAGATGAAACAATTGGAAGAACATGTACATAATTCGGGTGTTCAATTGATGGTAGGTGATTTTAATTCATTAACATTTGACGATTATTCCGATGATTATTTTAATGTTAACATACATGGTGTGCGTCAACAAAACTCATGGGAAAATCCATTCAATCTAGTAACAAACGAAATGAAAACAAATGGATATCATGATTGTTGGCGAGAAATGAATAAAGAAGCTATTGATAATCAAACTATTACATGTATATATAAGACACGAATTGATTATATTTGGAAAAGAGGAGAACTAAAAAATGGATGGAAAATGGAGGAATGTAAAATTTTTTCAACTGAAAATGCAACCGATCATAATGGTGTCTTAGTTACTTTTATAAAAACTAACTAATCAATATGCAATATGTATGTCTTCGAATACTGATATAAACTTTTTTTGGATTAGTTAACAATGAAATATTGTAAAAAATTTTTAAGTTGTTTTCAGACTACGTTATTTAGCATAAAATCAAAAAAGAAATAATAAATAGGAAACCGTTGATAACGACAAATGCTATTTGAATGATTAAATTAAAAACTGTTTCGATTCATGATATATTTTTATAACTGACGTTTTCACAGGATACCAAAAAATTAAATATAGAAATTATATAAATTGTGATTTATTTTTTTTGTTTTCGTTTTGACTACTATTATTGACGTAAAACATATAAAACCGGTAGTTGTTTTTGAAATAACTTTCGATAAGAACAAGCAGCTAGATACCTGCATATTTCATTATTCGACAGTAAATATAGGTCCACATTCAGATATTTTCAATAATTGACTAATCCAGTGAATACTAGATAGACATATTGAGAATGAGATTATGAAGGCATGTTCCAATTTCTTTTGACATATAATACAACTATTCAATAGAGAAAACTATTCTCTTTTGATCTACGCAAAGTTAATATCTCTAACATGTTGCGTTCAAAATGTATGAGAGTTTCTAGAAACCTTCCATTTTGGTAAGTCGACCTCTGATCATTCGAAAATAGCTCTAGACAAGGGTAACTGGATATGTTAACCAGAGTGTTAATGCTTGTTTCTGGTGTAAAAACGATCTGAGAGCATTACAACAGATTTTTGTAAATTTCATTTTTTTTTCGTAATGAATCTGAGGAGTTAATGCTTTAAAAATCTGCTTCTAGAAACATTAGATCGCTTTTTAACTGAAAATAAACATCACTGTTCGACTTAACATGTCCAGTTATCCTTCTCTGGAGCTATTTTCGAGTGATTAGAAGTCAACTTGCCAAAATCATGGGTCTCTAGAAAATTCCTATATACTTTGAATGAAACGAGCTAGAGATGTCAGCTTTACATAGATCGAAAGAGAACAGTTTTCTCTATCGAATAATAATATTATAGGTCAAAATCAATCGAAATATGCCGCCATAATCTCGTATTCAAAATATCCATCTAGAATTCAGTGAATCGGTCACTTATCAGACAAATGAAATTGAATATATCTTAATGTTGATCTCTCTTCTCTGTCGAATGATGAAAAGCGCAGATTTCTAGCTTGTTCCTATCGAAAGTGATTCAAGAAAAAAAAAGCAATCACCTCCCGTATATTCTGGCGCCGACATTAATAAATAGAACAATATTTCCATTGATCATTGAATTTTTTTGATTATTTCGAAGAAGGTAATCGATGAAAGTAATATAATGAGATTAGAGAGACAAGCATGACAAATTCTTGAAACACGTCTGTTGCATTTTGTTATCATCAGATCATTTTTTCCTTGTTGCATATCGATTTGTTAGCATGTGAAAATCTTATAGAAAAGTTCAAAAATTTTGATTTTTGTTCCAGAATAGAATAAAAGCATTTAAATCGATTGTCAAATATCGAAGGCTTTGATGACTATGCTAATGGTTAAATCTTCGGTATGAAATATTTTTCTGAAATTTAGAGGAATTTAATTTTCATGTTCTTCTTATCCCTTGTAATAGAAAGAATTTTAATTTTCAGTTGAAAGTTCTTCGTAGTTACATTTCAACTATGATTCTAGAAATTTCAAAATTAGTAGTATCTTCGACGGTGTTAAAATTATAAGACATTAGAAAGAATGTATCTAACTGTGTAGAAATAAGTGTTCGAATAGGAAAATCTTGTAAGCAAATTATATTTTTCCTGTATAATGTCTAAAAAAGAATTCTCAGTGAAGTTAAAGTACTGGTGATCATGTCTTATGCTTTCGGTTTCAACAATAATTTGATTTATCTATCATGTTATTTTTACAAGCATTAGAATAAACTCACCTGATTAAGCTAGCCATCAACATAATGATAAACTTTTTATAATTTTTTGATATATAGTCGAAGTGGTCATTGAGTTTCATCGTGTAGAAATACTGTTATTGTTGTTCATCTACATTTACAATGCAAAATTATTTCGGTCAAAAATTGTCAGAAAAACGAAGACAATGAAAATAAGTTAGATAGACTTGAAATAAAAAACATGAAGTTAAACGAACTTTCTGCTTATTGAATAGTTATTGCCACTAATTCCAGATAAACATTTATTGCGCTAACAAAAAGTCAAATTTATTGAAGAAAATGATCGAATATCTATCGAGTATTGCTCACAACTTCTTTGTAATTATTCTTGTCAAGGTACATCTAATTTTCAAGAGAATATTACGGTAGTGACATGTACACCCCATAAACTATTCGTTCTCGTATCAATGTTAAGATAAAATATACTAATGATAGATTCTCTCTTTTTAAAAGTGCAAAATAGTGCTGTATAGTAGAATAAGGATATGAATGGATTGGGAAAAAACCCAATAGCTTTTCTTTCAACATTCATGTATAAAGCATCATTAATAATTTATTACATATCGAATTCTTCAATGTTTTCGATATAAAATAATATACAACGTATTTAAATCTCGATTTTTCATTACGAACAAATATGGCCGTTCAACAATTACATTGCATACTTACTCATAATTAAATCACATAAACTGGCAATTAAAGATGATATGTTGAGAATAAGTGATTCAAGAATGCAAAAGGTGTTTTTAACGTTACAGCAACCATCACGTTATAAACTGAGTCATTGTCGATTAGTAGGTGGCGTTGGCCAGAAGACGTTAATTTCATTAAAATTTGATTACGATTGTGTAATTTATGTTAATGATGTCAATCCTCCATTCGAAAAACTGCTTGACGAATGGGATAATATCCTGAAATTGCATTTGAACCATCTTGGTGACGAAACGAAAACTAGGAAATTCAATATTCAGTTTACAATCGAAGAACTTGATTTCGATCTCTTACCTGCACCAAATTATACTGGTTTAAGCCCTCCCCGCCCCCCTAAAAAAAGTCAGTTTTCGTCAAAAATTCCGAAAATGAGATAAATGCATGGGGAGATAGCTCGTCTTCCGCTCTTTCAGAAATGCTATAGGTTTCTATCCAAAAACCCTTTCTGGCTGAAAACCTTGATGGTTTCTGTAATTCCCTGCAGGAAAAATACGTTTTTTTCTGAAAAAAAGAGAATTTCAAGATTTTTTCTAAAAAGTAAATATTTTGATAGATTTTTAAAATATTTTAATAATTTTTATAGAAAAATCAAATCTCTAACAGCAAAAACTAAGAAATAAACTGATTGATACACATGAGGAGAGCTTTATTAAAAAACCTTTAATATGAAAAATTTTACAAAAAAAAAAAACTTTACTAACAGTTACTTATTGTTCTTCTATCCATGTTCTTTTATCTTTGTGATTATAATAACCATAATCATCATCTAATGACTCATCATTACTTGATATTGTATCATTATCATCAGTAACATGTTCGTCACTATCAGTTGTTGTTTCATTATTCTCAGGTGTTGCTTCGGTCACAGGATTTGTATCATTATAATAATCATCTGTTTGATCAGCACCATCAATTACTGCATCATTGTCCTCTTCTTCATTGTCATTTTGAATCAAAACATGGCCAGCTTCTTTTCTTTTTCTGTTGTTTTCTTTTGATTCCGTATGCAGTCGATTGTTATCAAAATGTACCATTGCTTGATCAATATAATAACCACACATGACATTGAAAATATCTCCTGTGAAAATATAAAACAAATATTTATGTAAAAAAAAAATCAAAAACTTCAATTATGATTTGAAATAGCTTGTGAAATTATTTGTGTTATCCTACCTAATGCAAAATATCCATCGTTAAATATTATTATTGCAAGACAACATACAATTTCGAAAGTTGTCCCAGATGATGCCTTGTGTTTTGGTGACATAAGCCAAACAAGCAAATGAAAACCTTCATTTGGATTTTGAGTTGAAGCATCCATCACACGTGTAAGACTTTCTCGTGAACAAAGATTGTTAAAAACTGGTTTAATTGCATCAAGTACAGGACGAGGTAAAGCATGCGACGTATGATCATATGGCGTTTTATCACGAACAGATTTCAAATAGCCACACCAATCGATACTGCAATAATCATGACGAGGATCATCATTGGTCGAATATTTATGCCAAAATATTGCCCAAGATCCTTTAAATAATAAANATAACACTCGAATGATCAAGTGAGATGAAAACATAACAACATTAGTCAAAAAAGATATATTAATGTCATTCAAAGTACTACGACTATCTTCATCATTAGGTCTTCCTTGTTTAGACGAAGAACATCCAAGGCCTGTAAAATCAGTAACAGAAACGCGTTTTTAGGAGCAAAACTGTGGATGTTTTACACATTCAAAAAGGTTTTTTTTTTAGGGGAAAAAGCGACTTTGAAGATGATAACATCCATAAACTGGTTTTTTTTAAAGAGGAACTTGAGATTTTTAGTGTAAAACGTGCGCATGTTAAGTCATTAAAGAATCCTTTGGCTGCTGAGAACGTTTTATTTTTAAATGACATTGTTAAAAAATTTCGGACTTTTTCGGAGTTGGAATCGGAGTCGTAAAAAGAAAGATTTCGGAATCGGAGTCGGAGTCGGAAGAAAGAAATTTCTCGCAGTCGGAGTCGGGTTTCGGAATGAAAAAAGTTGACTCCGTAGGTCTCTACTATCCAGTGAGATCCTTAAAAAATGAACTATTTTACTGAACAATATATATCATTTTCCATGCTTTATTCAAATGGTAGAGTTGTGCATAGGTTAGCATCGGAAAATGTACACGAACCAGTGTTTTTACATTCGAGCAAATAACAATTAATATGTGAAATAATTCCACGCATTCTGCGGAACATTTTAATGGATAAATTGATCTTGGCTATAAACAATAGCATCTTTAAAAATTAATATATCATCATTCTAATTACGTAGATTTGATATTTACAAATAGACTTTTTTTTATATCGAAAGGATGAGTCATAGAAATATTACCAGTATACATTATAAGCATCGGTTTGTTGGCAATTTCATCGATAATAAAACCTATCGAACCATAATCTGTAAGTCGTGAATTTGATTCTTTTGTCAAGAAATTATTATGGAGAAAAAAATCACGATTAATCACAAAGTTCGGTCACAGGTTTGCGGAGTCAATGAATCCAAATCTGTGTATCAGTCTCTCGATCAAATGTCTTACTATAACCTTTTTTTACAGAAATCAAGTATACAAAAGTTGAAATCTTAAAAAAATAATATTTCGATTTAGAATATTTATCTATTCAAAATAGTATTTGTCTTCATGATATTTAATTTATTTGAAAAAGAAAAATAAAACAGTTCATGATTCATTTTATTCATCAATATCAACTGTCAAATCTATTTTTTTAACATTTGCCGGTAAAAATTGTCCATCATCATGTCGTTGATGTCCACGAATACCACTTAAATAAACTTTTGGTTGTGGTACATTCGAATAATTATCACGTTTTGTTTGAATAAATTGATCTTTTGGTAAATAAACTTGTGTAGAATTTTCTCGTCGAAAATTACTTATATTAGTTTGTACAGATTTTGTTAAACGTCTTCGTAAATTAGCTAATTTTAATGCTTTACGTCTTAATTCCCATTCATTCCATTCATAATTTTTAACAATATTTTTTTCATAAAAATGTGTATCAGTTTGTGTACCAAAATCAGCTTTCATTTGTGGTTTAGATGAAACTTGTGCTAAATCACCATATGATGCAACATTGGAAAATTGTGTATGTAAATCAAGTAATTGAATAAGTTCAGGATTTAATTTAGCATTATTTGCTATGGATTCAATAAATGTTGAAGATTTTCGACAAAATAATACAGCTTCTTTTGGTTCACTAAATGAATAATAACGATCATTTATTTGAACAATACCAATACGTGTATCACCATGTATTAATTTGAAATCATTTAAGGCTAAATTATAGGCACAAAAACCTAGAAAAAAAAAGAATAAGTAAAGAATTGAGTATGATTTTTAGATAAATAACTACGCTATTCTCTACAGCATGTCTACAATTCTTAGAGTGCATCGTTCATCCGAATTCCAAGAAGAAACATCACATCTGCTTTTCAGCTATCTTGCAGTTCGGCATGCTGTCTAGCAGTAACTATAACTAGATGTAGCTCTGGACAGTAGATCATCGAGTCTATCGGATCCGAGTCCAAAAATTTTGGATTCTATGGGCTCCAATCATCTGAAAAATGTGTACAGTGCGCTAGCTATCAAATACAAAAACCAGAAAAAAGTATCTTGTATCTTCTGGGTAACTATTCAACCTGTACAAATAGCCGTTGGTGACTTGTTCCGTGTCATTCCATGCCTGATGACACTGAGGTTAATACACAGTACTTTGTGCAAGCGAGTCAATTTTAAACCGACGAGAAATTCAATAGTTAACTTTTACCTTTATACATTAATGGTAATTTATCAAAATTTTTTGTTGTATCCTGATAATACCAAATTCCTTCAGCATTTCGTTCTTCTGGTTGTACAACAACACCACCATTATTAGTTTGTAAACGTTGTTTATCGGTTACAATTGATACTTTCATTAAACATTTTCTTATAGCTTCATCAGCTAATAATTCTTTAGAATTAAGTGTATACGGTTCAAGACTATATACTACAAAAGAAATTTTTAGTAAACATTTAAAGAAAATTTTGATTAAATATCATTTACAAATATTTGAAAGTACACTAAGTAAAACCATTTCATCTTGAAAACCAAACCATATTGTAGCCAAATGCATAAATTGAGGATAAACTTGAGCAGTAGGTACTCTAGATAAAGAAATTATTTTATTCAACAACAAAAAAATTCTTAATGTTTCAAAAGTTGTTATCTCAAATTGTGTTTGATTTAGCAATTAAAATTTTAAGATATATAAATCTCTCATATGATATTCAAGGAAAGAATAAAGACAATTTTTATATTTAATTTAACAAAAATTTAAATTTGTATTTATTTGTTTTGCAAAAAATGTTTCGAGTATTGTATTACAGTTAAATTGAAATATGAAAAATATAGAATCTATTTTGACCAATTAATTATCTATTATTAAATTTTTATAAGAAAAAAAAAAAAGATTTAGCTCAATCCAATAATCTCTAAATACAAAATAAATCTTCTTATATTCAAACAATGAATATATAATTATCAGAATCGGTCTAACGCCTACGGATTCATGAAAGAAAATAGAAATCTTCTTTAAAATCATTATTAGACAGCTCATAAGTATCTGCTATTAAAGAGTACTTTATCGGGTCAAGTTAACAAACACATCATTAGATACAATGCTGATGTGACCGAGGTTTTTGGTCAACACCATTCTTAATAGTTTCTTGCGAATCATGATGAAAGTTAGATAAAGACGAAAATAAATATATTCATTTATTCCATATATTTTGTGCTTGTTATGATGTTTGTGTCACAGAAGAACTTAGAATTCAAGAAAATTTAAAATTTTCCTATAATATTTTTATCTAGTTATTTTCATTCAGAAAAAAAAATGAATAAATTATCTTAATGAACTAAGAATATTTGCGTTGTGGAAAACCTAATGAAGTCAACACAGCATATGTGACTATTTCAGTACCGTCACTGAGTTTCAGTCGGAATAGTTACACTAGGTACTAGCCTCGGAGGCATCAGGTTTGGTGCATGATAATTCTAGAGGTCAATTAGAAGATTTTTGCTAAAGTTAATCAGATTCTGGATGCAGGTTTGAGAGTATGTGAGAAATTCGGTTTTGCGCCAAATTCAAAAAAAAAGAAACATTTGCAAAAAATACATTAAACATATAAGGGATAGAAGCAGTATACTACTATACCGGTAATATTTTTAGATATCAATTTCTACAAAGAAAAATGTTTTTTGTTGCAAAAACGCTGAAAAAAAAAACCGAAAGTTTTATTGAATCGAAGAAGCTTTGCTCACTTGACATTCTCTCGGCTTGGAACGCTCCTGAATAGGTGCGTGAACTACAATATATAGGGTACTTCTTTTGATGGGTTCAATATGTATGTTAATTACATACACTATGAATTGAGAGTACCGACGAGTCGTAGAAATTATCTTATATAAGAGAGTACTTGTCGGGTTTACGAGCTCGATCTGTTGGAGGACTCTTTACTATTATTAGAATGTCGTTCTTAAGTACTGTGTCACATCATTATAATAAAATCGTAGACTCTTTTTTTTTTTCTAAAGTCTATTTTTGGTTACTCTTTAGAAAATCAATTCATATAACTAACGCTGTTTTATTTTGTATTGTTGTTTTAAGTTGGTCTAAACGTGCTTTAAATTGTGATAATAATTCTTCAACTTCATGTGCACTTTGTCGTACATCATTTGAAAGTATATTAAGATAAAGTTCAAGTTGTCGTGAATTAATCATGGATTCTTGAACTTTATGTTTAGTTGCATCTTTACTTAATTGTTTTTGTGATAATGTTGTCATTGTATCTAATACAGCAATAAATTTTTCACTTGAATCAATAGCATCATCTGTTTGTTGTTGAATTTCTTTTAATGTTGCTGGTATAGCTTCATTTAATATAGCTAAATAATAAAATAAAACAGAAATTTTCTATTGAAATTTTTGTTTATTTATTTTACCAGGTAAATTATCAATGCCTTCACCACCTTTTCCACATTCTTTATTAAATAAACGAATACCAGTAACAATTTGTGTTAATTCAATTAATTGTCGATCTTTATCTCGTTTTGATAAACTAAGAAAATTACCTAATTCTGTTTGTGGAAAAACACTTTGTAAGGCAGCTGTTGCTTCACGTACAACAGATATATCTAAAATCAATATTTCATCTTGTTTTTTATTCTTATCGTCAAAAAAAAAAAAAAAAAAAGAAGAAAATTTTAACCTGTTGGTGAACCAAGTCCAGATCGAAGTAATACACTTGAAACAATTTTTCGATAAAGTGATTCAAGTTCATCTTTCGATGATGCTCGATTATCGGTTATTTCACGTAAAATTGGCTGAAGACGAGTTTCTATATTTGAAAATAAAATAAAATAAAAACCACAAAATCAAAATAAATCTTTTTTTTCTGTACCAAGTACACGTCGATGTTCAGTTAAAAATTCATCACGTGTTGTATAATTCATATCAAAATAAACTTGCATTTTAATTGTATCAAGTGATGATGATTTATTATCAAGTAAACGTCTAACACATAAATCAATAAGACGTTTAACATCATCGGATGCTAAAACACGATCTACTTGAAAATCATTTTGTGGTTCAAGTACAACTGCTTTAACAATGAATGCTACTAATGTTTCAGATACACCTAGATTTAAGAAATGTTTAATAAAAAAAAATAGCAAATACAAAAAAAATTAATATATATGAAAAACAAACCTTCGCCACGAGATGCACATTCTTGAACAATTTCTCGAATAATATTTTTAATAACACCTTCGGCTTGTATACGATTAGCAGTACCACTCATTGTTTTTTTTTTTAATCTTAAATTAGAAAGGAAATATTCTTTTTTCTTTTATTGTTATCAAGATTTCAAATTTGATACAAGACAAAAAAAAAAAAAACGTAACATGTTGAATATTAGGAAATTTTAATATGCATTTAACTATTACTTGGGGAATAGTGATATGAATAATCGTTTATTTTCGACAGCATAAATATTCCTTGCACGAATATATATATATTTTTGGTACGTTTTATTTTTGAGATTCAATTATTTTACAAAAAAAAAAAAAAAAAGCGGAGGCAGAAGATGATCAACAAGTTAGATCAGTAATCAACTTAGACTTCCGATTGTTAGTCAGAAATGCAGCAGATCTGAAACGATTAAGAATCTATACTGTATAAATATCAAGAACTTTAGCAAATGCATCAAGTGGCTGTTTCTGTTCTATTTTCAACATAGAACGATTTCATTGACAAAAAAAAATTTGATAAGAATAAGCCGATGTAGTTGAATTATCAACGTGGAAAAGATATTAACATTTAATAAATTCTCGAGACTGAAAATGATTACTTCGAGAAAATTGAATTTTATATTATGTAAATGTAGATAAAAATATGAGAGAAGTATCTTGACATTCACCTACTTTTGATTAGAGTTCAAATAAATTGATTAGGATACTAATAGAGTAAAAGAATATTCTCTATTCAGTGATTTTTTTGAAAATTTACATTGTTTAATACCATCTGCTAGATTTTATTCAACATTGTTTCTTAGCAACTAACATAAAATCTTTCTTGTTATTATTTCTATTCTTTATAAAAATCAAAACAAAAAATGAACTTATATTGATTGAAAAAAGCAAACAACTATAAATATAATTTTAATTCATCAAATTTAGTTAAACAATTCAATATTAGAGGTCGCTCATAATCAGTAAAACATGATTGTTTGTATCCATGTAGTTAAAAGAAAATCATTAACTAACTATTCTCGACAATGATTGAGTGGCTTGTATTAATATTAACAATGCAAAGCAATCTGCATGCCAGTCTTTCCTTTCATTTGTCTTCTTTTTGTTATTTGACGTTCGTATTATTATTGTTCTTTCTTGGACGAGAAGATGAGATGCACGAACAAGGCAATAGTTAGTTATTGTCTTCCTTCCGTAGTGTATCATTGTAGACATGAGTTGGCAAAGAAAACGCAATTATGTTTACCCAAATACAAGTTTTCTACTGTCGCACAACAAAATTCTTTTGTCAAATGATGTTCGAACGAGAACGATGACAGACACCCGTCATTTAGTTCGAGGAAAAAAGAAAAAAAAAGACGAGAGAGAGAGAGAGAGCATCGACCAAAATAACATACATTGCTTATATCTATTTTGTTGTGTATTCTAGCAATATAAGTCGAAATAAGATTAAGACATAGCCCACACTGTCTTCCTAATGGAATCAAGACGATAAGGAATAGAATCGGAACGAATGAACGAACAACTATCTGTCACTTTTTGCATGATAAAGTAGTCTTGTTTTGTATGAGTGCAACTGGATCCGCTTTTTTTTTTCTTGAATCAGATCAAACAATTTTGTTGTTCATGTATTGTCAATGTTTATAGAGACAAGACAGATTGCACGAAATTTAAGCTTTTCTATTTTAATATTGAAGATAAATAGTTCCCTGGAGATAGCTGATCAGGTGTAGAGACAAACATAATGAATCAATTTTTCTCGAACAGAATTCTTTTTCTCTGGCTTGCCTACGCACATATGCGTCATTAATGGTGTTGATTATTTCTTCGTATATATATATTCTCATCATTGGTACGTTCAACTATGGATTCAATTGTTATAAGCGGTAAGTTTCTTGAATGAAAAGAAACACCCCAATATAAATATTACTTTCTTTCTTCCTTGTGTTCTTTCCGAGACTATTTCAATTTTGCTCTTCTGTCATTGTTGCTCTCTCTATGCTATTACTATTGCTCAATAACAGAGAAAAGGCAAATAAATAATTTATAATGACAAATACTATCTTTTCCTTTAGTTTTTTGCTTTTTATTAGATCTCAATTTATGCTTGTAAGATGTAGGAAATGTAAAAATTTCATTGAGCTTTGCTCTCGATCTTTCAATTATATCTATGTTCTAAACTGTTCGAAAATATTCTATTTTAATTTAGCATGAAATATTGACTAGAAAAAAAAAAAGATACATGATTAGATTTAGCGCTAATAGAGTTAAAAAAATATTATCTCGGATAGATAGCTGCAACATGCTGTAAAGCATGTATTTCTAATCACCTTTATAAGCTTGTCTAGTATTCTTATGGCAATAAGAAAAAGCATGTGTCACACTCAATTAGAATCACTCGATCGCAAGCTACCAAAGTACCTATTCAGTTATTTTTAGACTTTATGTTTTTTTTTTGCTTAAGAAAATTGACATTTTTCTGATTACAACGATAGAAGCTATTTTATGAAAAAGACTGTTATACATAACAGTTACTATTTTTGTATTTCATCATCATAACAAAATAAATATCAGCATTAAGATTAGTACAGAAGAAAATACCAACGTCCGATTATATTTATATATTTTAGAAAACAAGAATATTTTTAACGAAAAGAATTTGTGATTAATCTTGACAGTTAAGCTTCGCTTGCGAGTTCCCTCGAGATGAATTTCCGTAAAAGATGTTTTTTTTAATATTTTTACTGAAATATATATATATATATTGCCTTAAGTAGTTTTTTGTACTGATTCCTGAGTCTGATATTTATTTTGTTCTGACGTTGAAGTACAAAAATAGTAACTCCTATGTACAACAGTATTTTTCATAAAATGGCTTCTGTCGTTCTAATCAGAAAAACGTCAATTTTCTTCAGAAAAAAAATAACATAAAATCTAAAAATAACTAAATAGGTATTTGTGTTGTTTGCAAATGGATGACTCTAATAGAATATGACACTTACTCTTTTTTTTTCTTCTTCGTCTTTTTTCATAAGAAAACTAGTAGATAGGCTTATAAAGGTGATTAGAAATATATACTTTGAAGTCTTTTGAAGTTATCTATCCGAGATAACATTTTCTTAACTCTATTAACTCTAAATCTAATCATATAGCATTTTTTTTTCTATTCAATGCTTCATACAAAATAGATATATAATATTTTCGAATACTTTACAAAATGCATATTATTGAAATATTGAGAATTTCTATAATAGTAGTCATATACGCTAATGTCTTAATCAATTGAATTTTTTTTTTTAAACATTTCTCAATTAAATAATCGTCAAAACTACATAACCGTGACTAGATTATCAAGCTTTATGTAATGATGCATAAATGATTGAAAGTAAAATTCAATAAAATTTTTGCATGTACTGCTTCATATGTGCTTGTATATGTATATTTCTTCTTTTTTTTCTAGTTTTTGTTTCTCTTATTCTTTATTTTTTTTTTCTCGAACGTAGTAGTTCGACAGTAGCTAGTGATGTATGTGTGTGTATGCGCATGCTTTTCAAAAGAGAGGCGACCCCCACTCTTTCGCCTCCACGACGACCACTTCCGATACAACACCACCGACTGAGTTCTTTGACTAAGAGCCTGACAAATGCGCAACTATGTGAAGATGACGAAGAAGAAGGAGAAGCCAGGGAAAAAATAGACATTGGCTCTTACTACTACTACATGTTTCTTTTATGGAGGCCGCACGTTTGCAATAGAGAAAAAGAGAAGTATAATGAAAGTTGTCAACGCGTATAAGGGAAAGCAAGAGAGACAGGGAGAGAGAGAGAGAAAGAGAGCAAGAAAGAATCTGTATATATTTATGTTGTTGTTTGCATGTTGACCGGGCGAGCTTGCTGTTGAGTTTGGTGTCGTCAATTGGTATTGACTGTCGTAAGTTATTTTAGTTAATTTTACAACTATTGTCTAATCTTATTGTTAGTAAAGATAATCAGAATAATGTGAAGAAAAAAAAAAAATAATAATAATAATGTAGTCTTGAATAATGAACAATGATATGTTACGTGTCACACGCAAATATGAGTTTGACAATGATGATATCAGGTGGCTGACAAAAACAATGATGATTGTTCTAGTTCTTCTATCCATTTGAAATGACAATTGAATATTTCGTGATACTTTCTATGTGATGTCTTGAGTGTCGACATCGATTTTTATCTTTGAGAAAAACAATAGAAATGTAAACTAATCGTACTGTGGACTTTTCCCTATATGTTAGAAGCCAATCGATTGTTGCTATACACTGACACACACATATTCATTCATTCAGTTAGTCGAATAAAGGCGAAAGTCGGTGAAGTTGAACAAATTAGGACGTCATCGTTGTCTTCACTTGTTCAGCATTGTAATGGAAGAGAAAGACCGACAGAGCTTTTTGCACACACAACAAGAGACAAGAACAAAATGAGTTTTCAATAATATATTGCTCTTGTTAGATGCGCACTAGCATAGAAAGGAACTAGAAGAGCAAGAGCCGGAAGCTTGATGTTAGACAGACATCTTGCAAAAAGAGAAAGAGAGTTCTCATCTCTCTTTTAAAAAATCATCATCAACGTTTACTCGTCTATATAGCATCTAACGCAGTTCAATGCACTGCAGGCTTCACTATTTCATTTATTTAGTGATTCATCTAGTACTATCGTAAGTTATATCGTATGTATAATGTATTGATGATGAAGTGTTTATAGATAGATTACTTTTTCAAAAAAGCTTAATTTATTTAATATACTTGAAAGTATAATAAAATCAGGTGAAAAAGTAAGATGTGTCCTTGAAAAAAAAAACTCTTAACAAGTCAAAAGACATTAAGTTTCTCTCTTAGTAAGTTCATTTTTTTTTAATAGTGTCATATTTCTTACGTAAAAGAAACTGAATAGTAATTATTTTTATTTTTAGTAGCATATGATAGCTTACAATGTATTTATCTGAAAATAGATTTAGACATCAACTAAAAGATTTGCCTAATGACCACTAAAATATGAAATGTTTACAA